GGGAATCATCTTTACCAGACCTCAGACAAATGTTTGTCCATCCATCCATCCTTCACTTGAATATCTCTAGTGGGAACTTGTCATGTCTAAAAGCAGGGCTTTGCATTCTGGGACAGTCCTACTTAGGGAGTTTTTTCTTATTCATCAAGCCTAAATCTGCCTCTCTGCAAATTCTGTCCTCTAGAATCAAGCAAAACAAAGTCAATTAGACACTCAAAGGCAGCTATCATTGTCTCCCTAAGTCTTTTATTCTCTAGGATAAACATTTCTATTTCCTTCAGTTGAGATTTATATGATATTGTCTCCAATGTCAATGCCTATCTTCACCAACTCTTCTTTGGTGTTTCTGATAAATTATCCTGAAATACCGTGTATTGTAGTTTATATAATGTGTTTGTGTCTTAGGTCTCAGATAGACTGTAAAGTCCATGACGGCAGGCACTACGTCTTTTTTTTTTAATTAAATTTTTTTCAATTATTCAACATTTAATTTTTCTCCTTACCTTTCCACCCATTGCAATGGAAAAAAAAAGGAAACAAAACCCTTTTGACAAATATACATAGTCAAGAAAAGTAAATTCTTGTATTGGTCATGTCCTAAAATGTATGGATCATTCTGCACATTTAGTACATCTTTACTCTGTCAGGAGGTATGGGTAGCGTTCTCTGGAATCATGACTGTTCTTTGCATTAATCAGAGTTTTTAATCTTTCACAATTGTTCATTTTACAGTGTTGTTGTTATGATATAAAGTATTCTCCTGTTTTTTGCTCACTTCATTCTACATCAATTCATATGTCTTCCCAGGTTTCTCTGAAACGGTCTCTTTTATAATTTCTTACAATATAATAGCATTCTGTTACTATACCATAATTTGATCAGACATCCTGCAATTAATGAGCATCCCTTTAATTTCCAGTTCTTTGACACTGGAAACCCTAAATCTTTTCCCTCTTTTTTGGTCTTTTTAGGGGTATAAGGTTAGTAGTGGTATTGTTATGTATAAGGTTATACATAGTTTAGTAACTTTTGGGACAGAGTTCCAAATTGTTTTCCAGAGCAGCTGGACTAATTCATAATTCCTTCAATAGTACAGCAATATGCCTGTTTTCCTGAAGTCCTTCCAACATTTGTTATTTTTTTTTTGGGGGGGGGTCAGCTTAGCCAATCTGATGGCTGTGATGTGAAAACTCAGAACTGTTTTGATTTTCATTTCTCTAGTTATTAGTAATTTGGAGCATTTCAAAATATGGCTATAGATAATTTGGATTTCTTTTCTTTGAGAAATGCCTTTTCATATCCTTCACCCATTTATCAATTGGGATTAGTTTTTATTTTTATAAATTTTGAATCATTCCTTTAATATCTTTGAAATGACTTCTTTATCTGAGAAAGTTGATGCAAAGATTTTCCCCCCCAGGTAACTTTTCACCTTTTAATCTTAACTGCATCAGCTGTGTTTGTGCAAAAAAAAAAATTATGTAAATTTATGTCCATTTTATCTTTTGTGATCTCTATTCCTTTTTTGGTTGTGATTTTTTTCTCTTGTCCATAGTTCTGAAAGGTAATTTCTTCCTTGTTCTTTTAATTTGTTTATAATATGACCTTTTATATTTAGGTCATATATTCATTTTGAGTTTCCTTGCTTACGGTATAAGTTAGTGGTCTAAACCCAATTTCTGCCAGATAGCTGTCCAGTTTTTCCCACAGATTTTCCCTGTAACTGGGACCTTTGGACCAAGTCTTATTTAAACTTTGAACCTCCTCCAGTAGTTGTCCAATGACAGACCAATGGATGTATTACTAGAGGAAAGGAATATTATTAACCTTGACATTCTCACCATAAATGAAACCAGAAGACAAAATACAGAACTTAAATGGAAGAATGGTTTGGTTTTATTGTACATCCAATGACCACAAGAAATATCGTTTCATGAGAAATTTGGCTGTCTCGTACTGCGGTGCTCATGGAAAATATTTGCCAAAAATCTACCATAAAAATAATTATACCCAATGTATCAACATCTTTTGTGGAGGCTGTAGAAATGTTTGATAAGACCTTCCGCACTGAATCAACACATACTTTGATGAGTATTACATTACAGATAGAGGGCCCACCTCAGAGTTGGGAAGATCTGGGTTCAAATTCTGCTTTTGTTACAGACAGACCACATGAGCCTCTGCAAATCAATTCACCTCTCAATGTCCCAGACACCTCTCTAAGACTACAAGTTGAAAAAGAGTTGCCCATTGCATTGGTAGGAGGAGTTTTTTCTATATGACTTCCCTACCCAGATGAAATTGTAGGTATGGTCTCCTTCTCTTCCCATCAGATTTTGATTTCAAAGCAAAGATGGCTACAAGTGAGGATGATAAAAAAAAAAAAGATGGAAAATCTAGTTCAGTAGTAAGGAATGAAAGAAAGCAAAGACTTGTAAACTATACCCTTCAACTCTATAAATCATGAATACTTTTTTTTTTAAAGACAAGAATTGGAAGGTGTTAGACACAGTAAGCACCAAAAAAGTCACAAAAATGAAATTGATTTTACATTTTAACTGATTAGACACGATTCATTATGAATGTGGGAGTCATTTCTGAATTAGCTGTCAGTATATAGTCAAACCACCAACTTGTCTGAGCAAAGACCAAAACAATGAGAATATATAAAAAAAACTAAAAACGAGAAACAGACATGCAATTCAAACAACTCTTAGTTGGCCTAAACAAGTTAATGCTGATAAAAAATGGAATGTGGGGAGAAGAAAGCATAGTGAAACTAATTATAGTAATTTTATAGAGAAATTTAAGTAATAAAAGTCAATTACTATAAGGAAGAGATTCCCCCCAAACTAAAATCCATTTTAGCTTGCAAACACATAACTTACTTGTTAGGGGGAGAAATATGTAGTTTGCTGCTGTTCAGTTGTTTTTCAGTCGTTTCTGATTCTTCATGACCTTGTTTTCTTTTTCTTTTTTCTTTTGCAATGAAACTAGAGTGGTTTGCCATTTCCTTTTCCAACTCATTTTACAAATGAAGAAACTGAGGTAAACAAGGTTAAGTGAATTGCCCAGGGTCACACTGCTAGTGTTTGAGGCCAGATTTGAACCCAAGAAGATGAGTCTTCTTGACTTTAAACTTGACATGAACTCTAGGCCTGGCACTCTCTCCACTGCATCACCTAGCTGGCCTAGTAGCCAAAGGCAATAATAATATAACAAAATATAATATAATATAATATAATATAATATAATATAATATAATATAATATAATATAATATAATATAATATAATTAATAATAATAAATAATATAAATAATATAAATAAAATAAAATAATAATATAATATAATATAATATAATATAATATAATATAATATAATATAATATAATATAATATAATATAATATAATATAATATAATATATTATAATATAATATAACATAATATAACATAGTATAATATAGTATAATATAACATAACATAACATAACGTAACATAACATAACATAACATAACATAACGTAATGTAATGTAATGTAATATAAAATAATATAATATAATATAATATAAACACATTTGTAGATTTTTATGAAGGGTGACAGAAGATACTACACTGGGAGTGAAATGGGATTAGATGACCTTAAACATTCCTTCCAAGTCCCAGATTCCATGATGCTGCCAGATCTGCTAAACTATAATCTTCGTTCAGTTTCATAAGATGATTGATTTAGAAATGGGATGAGGAAATTGAGGCCAGAATGGTGAAATAAGTCGCTTAATGTGACAGAACTGAGATTTGAATTGATGGATCCTCTAATGCCTTGGGTTGTTTTGGGAATGGATCTAGGACAGCCATTCTTCATTTCTTTCCTGGATGTCCTTATGACTCTCTGGCCCTTGCCACAATAATTCAGCAGACCTTCTTGCCCTAGAACTTCCCTCAGCATCTGGGGCCAGAATATCCCTTTGTCTTGCTGAACCCCCTTCTCTCTCATAGAGAGTTCTTTCAAGGAGCCTCCATTTTAGGGAGAGACCCAGGTCAGCCATGTTTCATTCCCTTACTGGCTATGTTTCTCATTCTCTGGACTTCATCAACGTGCCTCCAAACACAATGATTCTCCCTCTCTCTTTTTTTTTTTAATAGGCAATTGGGGTTAAGTGACTTGCCCAGGGTCACACAGCTAGTAAGTGTCAAGTGTTTGGTCTGAGGCCAGATTTGAACTCAGGTCCTCCTGACTTCATGGCCAGTACTCTATCCACTGTGCCACCTAGCTGCTCCTCTCCCTCTCTTTTACAGGTAACTTTTCTGCCCCCTCTTCCCATTCCCCTTTCAGATTTCTTTTTACTTGTTATCTTCTCCCATTAGAATGTAAGCTCCTTGAGGGCAGGGACTTTTTTTTCTTACATTTTTATCTCCAGTGCTTATAGTGAGCACTTAATGAATGCATTTTGCCCAACTGCCTGCCTGTCTTGTATCTCCTAGAACTCTGAGATGCAGAACTCTGAGACTCATCGCACTCTGTGCATGTACTTTTCTGTTCTTTTTCTCTGACAAAACCGCTCAAGATTTCTTAAGATGTTGAGAAGTTTAGAAAGAGATGTTCCCCTTGAGAGCACTTCATTTCGATGCCTGGGTGTGTCTTGCAGCCGGGGTATTGCTTGGCCGCATAAATGTAATAATTGGTGTTAAGTGGATTGACCCTTAAGTACAGACATGCTCATGAAGTTGAAGGGAGACACCCTGTTCTCTGAAAGCTGAGGCTAAAGATACCTGGTCTGTGTGCAGGAAGGACGGTGTGCTTGATTGATGGATTGGGTGGTGGTAGGGGGAGGGACTAGGAATTCTTTTTGTTCCCCAATTTCATTCCCAAACCTTGTTGCATCATGTAGCCTGGATGACTTTCTAGCCTCTCCCTGCCTGTGTCTGACCCTCTCCTCCCACACCTCAATCTTGCTGGCAAGAATAGTCTCCTAGAAGGTTCATTTTCCTTTGCTCAGGAGGCTGCTGAGGAGTCTCTCACCTTCTGGAGCTGCTTGTCTCAGGCTGTCTACTCTGGTAAGGCAAACCTGCTCCCCAGCCCTTCCCCACACCTTACTTTTATCCACTTCTGAAGTTCACAAGCTTCTACTGTTGCCCCTCCCCTTTCTTTACCCTCCCCCCTTTCCATTCCTTTTCTTTTCCCTTCTCCTTTTTTCTCCTCCCCTTTTCCCTTTCTCCCTCTACTCCTCCTCCTTACCAGATGCCTTTTCTGATTCCCATTCACCCCTGCCTGCTTACTCCATTCTCTTTTCATCTCATCCCACCCTTAACTGATGTCCCAAACTGTCTGACTGCCCCTAGCTCTGTCTCGTTTCTCCATCTGGATATGTGGGGGTCCCATTTCCGCTTTTAGGAAGAATGTTCCCTGAGGTCAGCTCCCATGTCTCCTCTTTCCTCTGGAAGATAGGGTTCTGCTCATGGCTGGGGAATGATTGACTCTGGGTGTGTTTTAGGACAGGTCAGTGTGAGGTGGTGGTGATGGGGAAGGGAGTGACAGACATAGTCAGGCCAAGATCTTCCTGGTTCATCCTGCTCTCCCAGGCCCAGCCCAGTTGGTGGGGATAAAAGTCTCGTGCTGGAGCCCCAGGGCAGGAACTCACTCACCTCATCTGACTGTCCATCTGTCTGAAGCTACTGAGACCATCTGTCCTGACCATGTCCTGTGTGCCATTTGGTGCCCGTGGGGGCTTCAGTGCCCGATCTGCTTGCTCTGCCAGGATGGGGAACTGGGGTAGAGGTGTCATCCCGGGAGCAAAGACAGCTGGTCGCTTCAGCAGCAAAAGCTTTTGTTCCATGGGAGAGGCCAGAAGCATCTCTGGCTGGGGAAAGAGAAGCTGGGGGTCAGGGGGCAGATTTGGGGGGAAGTTTGGGCAGGGTGGGGTGGGGGCTGGCCTTTGTCCACCAGGAGGCATCCAAGAGGTCACCATCAATCAGAATCTCCTGAGTCCTCTCAAGATTGAGATTGACCCCCAGTTCCAAACTGTGCGGACTCAGGAAACCCAGCAGATCAGAGCCCTCAACAACCAGTTTGCCTCCTTCATTGACAAGGTGAGGGTCATTACATCCAATCCCCTATAGCTGCACCTTCACCAGAGAGACAATTTCTGGTCCTAGGCTTAGAGATTTTTGAGGAGAGGGGCGTTCTGGCTTCTCTCCACGACCTGTCCAATCATCTTTCAAAGTGCCCTCCCCCCAAACCTAGCTGTCATGTCCCCCAATGTCCTTAGAAGCCATTTTATCTTGTTGGACATTTCAGGGGAGAGCTGTGGGGGTTGTTGGTTAAACAGAATCAGTCAATACTAGGAAGTGTTACTTCTACTAACCCTTCAGAAGACTCTAATATTCCCTGTAACTTGCCAAAGGGGAAGAAAGATCAAAACAGAGACTTGCTCTGTTTAATTAACAAGGGATGCTTCACTGGACTGACCAGCCACAGAATTATAGCATCTAAGGACCTTTAGAGTTCACCTGACCCCAGAAAGTGAATTGCCCCAGGACACTTAGCCAAGAAGTGGCCAACTTGAGTCTTTTGACTGTAGGGCCAGATTTCCCCATCTCCGTTGTCTATTTTCAATTCTGAGGCTTTTTTGGAGGCCTCTACGCTTGGAGAATTTTCAAGATCCTTCTGTTTGTGCATCAGGTTCGGTTTCTGGAACAGCAGAACAAAGTGCTGGAGACCAAGTGGCAGCTTTTGCAGGACCAGAAGGAGGGGATGGGAGGCCGTCTCCAAGACCTGGAGCCCGTCTTTGAGGACTATATAGCCAGGCTAAGAAGGCAACTAGAGAAACTCCTGGGGGAACATGGGGCACTGGCCTTGGAACTGAAGACTTGTCAGGAGCAGGAGGAGGATTATAAAACCAAGTAGGAAAAAGCAACTCCCTCCCCCACCAAATCTTCTTTACCTGAGGGCCCTAAGTAGATGGGCAGAAGGAAAAGATCATAATAGGGCCTAGGAAGTTCAGTGATCATCTGGATCAACTTTCTGATTTTACAAAGGAAGACATTGAAGTCCAGAGTCAAGTTACTTGCCCAAGGTCACCTAGCTAGAAAGTATCCAAGTCAAGATTTGAACTCAGCTCACCTAATTCTAGAGCAGTTAGGTGAGGCAGTGGATAGAGTACTGGGCCTGAAGTCAGGAAGACTCATCTTCATGAGTTCAAGTCTGGCTTCAGACACTTTATTGGCTGTGTGACCCTAGGCAAGTCACTTAACCCCATTTGCCTCAGTTTCCTTGTCTGTAAAATAAGCTGGAGAAGGAAATGGTAAACCACTCCAATATCTTTGCTGAGAAAACCCCAAATGGGGTCATGAAGAGTTGGATATGACTGAAATGACTAAACAACCAGTTTAGTTCTAAGATCTATGCTTTTTCCACAATACCTGGCTGCCTCTCCCAACAGTTCATTGAGCTCAGGAAATTCCTGTTCAGCCACTGTGAGTCAGTGGAGTTCAGATTCTGACCATTTGGTTGTCAGGACTGGAGGAGGAAGGGTCACTGGGGCCTTCCTTAACCTCTAGCTTCATTCATGACCCTGCTAGAATTTCAGGTCCCTGGCTAGACTTCCCTCTGTAAGAGAAAAGGGCAGAGCTGACAAGAGGGGCTTAGATTCAACATGAGGAAGTAGCTACTTCAAGGGAAGGATAGAAAACTTCTGAAAAGGGGTATGGAACCTTCTGTTCTGGTAGAGTTTAAAGATATGGAAGGGGGGGAGGAAGAGAGGATTGTATCAGGACAGTCTAGTTTAGAGGCGGGGGAATGGATAGGATGACCTCTGGGGTACCTCAGAATGTGTCTTCTCATTTGAAAGGTATGAACAGGAGACCAACAAACATGCCACAGCTGAAAATGACCTTGTGGTTTTCAAGAAGGTGAGAAAGGTGATGATGATGATGATTATAAATAATAATAAAAATGATAACTTACATTTCTATAGTGCTTCCTATGTGCTAGACATTGTGCTAAGCACTTCACTAATGCTATTTCATTTGATTCTCATAAGGTAGGTGCTATTATTATCCCAATTTTACAGATGGGGAAACTGAGGCAGACAGAAGTTAAGTGACTTGCCCAGAGTCACACAGGTATTACATGCCTAAGTTTTAATTTGGTCTTGAGTGCTGCCTCTAAAGGAACGCCCAGGCTACTGGGGGAAACAGGACACACAGTCCTGGACATACACACTCACACATATACACATACACAGAGCTGGGAGCTACTGAAGAGGTATGTAGATATTAGGTCTAGAAAAAGAGGGGAGGAATTATCTAAGAAGAGCTGGCTGGGATTAATGAAAGAAGGCTTCCGGGAAGAGGAGAGTATAAGTCATTGTTGTGAAAAAGGGGCGCCCTGTGCCCCAACCCCAATGTTTTCCTCTGTAGTTAGGCAAAGAGTATGAGAGAAGGTTTTGTAGACTGGGGATGGGTCTGTAGTCTAGGATAGAAAAGGGTGGTGATCTAGCCAGTTGGTCTGAGCTAGAAAAAAGGATCTGGGCAGCAGTTAACTGAGGTCTCTTGCCTCCATTTTCCCCTAGGACGTAGATAACGAATACATGAGCAAGGTGGAACTACAAGGCCGGGTGGATACTCTTCAAGAAACGATCAACTTTTTGAAACGTCTATACGAGGAAGTGAGTATTATGTCAAGTCTCTGTTGAAGGCCCAAGGAAGGGGCTGGGCCAATGGAGCGGGGTAGGAATGGTTTCTGTTACCATATTTCTAATTGGCCAGGAAGTATACCTCTGTTAGGCAAATCTGCATATTATTCCTGTCAAAATGCCCCTTCCCTGGACCAAAATCCCTCCAGACTCTATTGCTTCAGAACCCTCCCATCCAGTCTTTTCCCCAAGCTTCTATCCCCCTGGCCCCAGTTTTCCCCACCATATGTTTATCCCTTCATAATCTTTCCTCTATCCCTTCCTCATCCTATTCTAGAGTCTCCAGTAGGCTAGACCCTAGTCTCGTCCCTTCTTTCCCAAGTTTCCTCTCAGCTTCTGGCCTATTCCCCTGGAGGTTATCTCCCCACCTTATGTCTTTCTAGCACCTGCCTCTCTACCCCTTCGTCTTCCCTTCAGTGCCTCTAACCATTCCTTGCCCTTCTACCCAAGGGCTCTTCAACCCTTCCCCCTTTCTCACCAGCTCCCCTTCCCCCCTTCTCTCACAGTGTCTCCTTCCAACCCCTATCCTCTTCCAGGAGTAGCTAGATGAAGCACTGGACTTGGAGTCAATAAGACTTGAGTTCAAATATGGCCTCAGACTTTAGCCACATAACCCTGGGCAAGTCATTTAATCTTTATGTGCCTCAGTTTCCTCAGCTGTAAAAGGGGGATAATAATAGAACCTACCTATCAAGATTGCAGTAAGGGTCAATGTTGATGAAGCACTTAGCACAGTGCCTGCCTGGTTCATAGTAGGCTCTTAATACACACTTCTTTCCTGCCCTCCCCCTTCTATTGTCCTAGCTTATAGCTATCTCCTCTACTGCCCCCTAAGCTTCTGTTTCTTTTTCTATCTGTGCCATCCTCCTACAGTGGCTCCTCAGCCCCTAGTGCTCTCTTCTCAATTTTCCCAGCAGCCTTTACTTGACCCCTTGGGATCCTCATTCCTTTCCTCTGGTCTATAATGACTGGTCTAGCTTGACAACCTCTCCCAGCTCAGTTCCTGGCTGGGCCCTGTTGTGACATACCCTCAGTGGTGATTCTGGGCACTGACTCTAAGATCTTATCAGCCTGGAGACTCAAAAGGAATTGGGGCTCTGGAGTCCCTGGAGTGGAGGGACCTGGGCTCAGGATAATATTTTCTCTCCTATAGGACAGCAATCACTTCCGGACTGATGTCAATGACACCTCAGTGGTTGTTTCCATGGACAATAACCGATATCTGGACCTGGGCAGCATCATTTCAGATGTCCGAGCCCAGTATGAGATTATTACTCAGAAGAGCAAAGCAGAGGCTGAAGCCATGTACCAGACTAAGGTCTTCATCCTGACATTGTCTGTTCTCCCATTCACTCTCCACAGTTCCTACCTAGAGGTCATCCAAACTTTTCCCCAGTCATCTGGCCTGTACTGTCAGGAAGGACTCTGGGAGTTTGGTTTCTGGATATATTCTGTGTGATATCATTCTGCTACCGAGTGAGGCTGGGGAGGGGTATGGTGCCCTTGTCTCCAGGGATTGTGATGAAGAAGGGAAATGAATGATCTTCAGTGCTCCCTAAATATCCACCCATTAGGGGAACTCAGTCTCTGAATGCACATTCTTATATCTCCTGGAGAGGAAAATTGAAGTCCTAACCTAAATCCATTAATGGGTATCATGGGCATACACATGACGAGAAGTAGGTGCAAAAGGGATCCAGGGTGATCTTGGGGGTCACCGTCAGGGGATGGGGCCCACCAGTGAGTGATAGTGTCATCTCTGGCTCTCTTATCAGTATCAGGAACTTCGAATGTCTGCCGAGAAACATGGAGACAGCATGAGAGACACCAAGATCCAAATTACTGAGCTGACCCGAGCAATTCAGAAACTTCAAAATCAGATTGAGAATGTCAAGAAGCAGGTGGGTTCTTCTGTGTTCCCTAGCCCCTTTCCTTCTCCTTCAGTATCTCCCTCCAGTTACTGCCTTTTGTGTCTCTAAAACCTACCCTCCCCAACTCCTGCTTCTCTCTCCAACTCTCAATTAGTAATGAGTATAAACAGAGAAATTAAGCTCATTTCCTTGGTGTATTAGTTAGGGGTGGAATTATGCGGCTAGAGAATCATACCCTTACCTGTGGGTGCTCTCTGCCCAAAGGAATATAAATTTTGATCTCTGAAACCTCCAAGATATCTTGGGGATTATGGGCTATATTTTTTTTCTTTTCTCTACTTATTTGTTCTATCTTAAAAAAAAAACAAACAGAGACAATTAACTCATTTGCCCCATGCCCCAAAATCATTTATGATTTCTTGAAATAGAGCATTGGAAAACCAGGCTTTGATAGAGCCCATTGGGATTCAAATGGAGTTACTTGACCATACCTTAAAACCCAGATCACTCTGGCTCTCATTGATTGGCCAATAATAGGTCCCAGCCCAAGTCTCACTTGGTCACAGTTTGGGTTTTGATGGCTCAGAGTGAGTGTAAATAGCAATTATTTTTGTTTTGGCCAGAAACCCTGAAGGTATTCCCCTCCCAGAATGATTTTTCTGTTTTTTGACCAGGTAAAAGAGGTCATTTTTTCCTCTTCATTTCTTACCTCGCCTTAATCACTGAATGGGTGTTGCCTCCGACAAACTGAGACCTGGGAAAGACCTTAGCTTGAAAAGGCCTAGGTCTTGCATTGCACTGGGGCCATCTCCAGTCGTCCTGATCTACATCTTGCCACTGGATCCAGATGGCTCCAGAGGAGAGAGTCAGGGACTTTGCATAGCCCTCCTTCACTTAAATTCAATTCACTTGCAATTACATCACCTTCCTTAACATAAGGAACATAATTGGTCCAAAGGACAAACAACAACAATTATGTGGCAAGGAGATGCCAAGACAATTCTGCATTTCTTCCTTGACACTCAACTAATTGCTTAATACTCCTAGGTAAGGGGCAGATGATGGCTATTAACGTGGTCACCTCTTTGCTTTCTTAACTCCTTTGTTGTTAGTTTTGAACTTACTATGGACTTATCCATTTTAGTAAGAGCTTCAAGGGAAGGTATTTTAAATCGTAATACTTAATTCTTTCATCCCACCCTAGGGAAAGTGTAAAGTAGTGAAGATCTAGAGGTAGGGAGTAAAAGAGACAAAAAATAGCTGTACTTAGCTGGGTGTTTTGCATAAGTCCCAGAGGTGATGCTTTTCATTGTGTGTGTGTATGTGTGTGTGTGTGTGTGTGTGTGTGTGTGTTAACAAAGAGGAGTAGAGCCAGAAAATGGGATGGGGCTTACAGGGTAGTTTTATGACTTGTTACAAAGGTTGATGAATTCCTAGAATATCAGCTCAGAATCTTTCCTTTCCCCCTTGCCAAGTTATTCTCTAAGTTCAGCCTACAAGCCATTTCTGAATTCTCAGACAATCAGCCCTCAAATATCCACCCTGATGGAGAGGCAACATGCCACAGAAAATCCCAAATACTGGACAATGCAGAAATTCTTCAGTGTGTATTCAGGATGCAGTTTTGGGTCCTGCCATGTACACATGGCAGAGAATCTGTGCGTTCAATTAATCAGTCAAATACTGAGTGAGTATGGACTTCGTATCTTGTTCTGCTCTGGTAATCTGAGAATTCACTGTAATAACACCTCACATTTCTATAGCACCTTGTGATTTAGTGTGGGTGTTCTGATCACCCCTATTTCAGAAGAAAATCAGGGGTCAGAGAGTTGAAGTCATGCATCCCAGATCACCTAGCTAGAAAGTGGCAGAACTGAGATTTGAATCTAAGGCCTCTGAAGATCAGTCTAACGCACTCACTTTTATTGTAATCCCCGAGGCCCCATTCTTCCCTAATAATGAAGGTCCCTACTCACTTGGAAGGAGCTAGAAAGTTGCCGGGCTTTTCTCTCTGACAAAGAATGAAATAAAGTAGAAGAAATTAATTGAGGTCTCTGACCTAGGAATTCACTGCTCCCATGAGGAAAGGGAAATTGGAACACACCTAGTCCACTGTGGGCTGAGGAAAGTGTCCTGTGACTGAGTTAGTATAGCCAATGCTTTTCCTCTCTCAGAATGCCGCAATCCAGTCGGCCATCACTGATGCAGAACATCGTGGAGAACAGGCCATCAAAGATGCCCAGGTCAAGGTGGTGGACTTAGAGGGTGCCCTTAAGAAAGCTAAGCAAGATATGGCAAGCCTGCTTCGAGACTACCAGGAGCTGATAAGCACCAAGCTGGCCCTGGATGTGGAAATAGCCACCTACAGGAGACTACTGGAGGGCGAGGAGCGCAGGTGACCGCTGGGGCCTTGAGGACCCTGAGATGATCCAACAGCAATGCCATATGTAATAGGGAAACTTCCAGTGAAATACCCTCATACCTTGGGTTACTTCCCCACTTTGAGTCGCTATCCAGATCTACCAAGAGGGATTATGAATTGGGGACTAGGAATTCTGCTTGTCCTGGGGGACAGTTGCCTTTAGAGAGTCCTCAGAGCCCTAGAAGGATGGATCCAGTGGATCCTAACTGAGATTTTCTTCCTCTTGTCCTTTTCCCAACAGGATGTCTGGAGAATATATCGACGATGTCAGCATCTGTGAGTCCTGGTTGGCTTCTGGAAGGGAGTAGGTGGTTTGGTATTGCCCTGGCCTCCAAGGGGAGGCAAAAAAGAAGTCCCAATATCATTAACAGAGGCACCTTTCTTTGTAGCAATGGTTGGTGGAGGTACCACAGGCTCTGGAGGATGTGGGAACTCAGAGTTCGGCTGCTCCAGTGTTGTGGTTGGAGGCTCCCACTTTGTCAAAGGCCCTGGTTCTGGCTCCATCTCTGCCTCTGATTCTGGCTTCTCCAAATCCAGTTCAGGTTCTGTCACTGGCACCATCTTGAAGAAGACAACCATGTCAACTTTGAAGACTATCACATACTGAGTGACAGGATGGATGCCCAAAGGCAAACCGTGTAATGGCCCAGACAGGGTTCCACAATCCAGAGCTTTCCTCCTCAACCAACTTGGTCCCTTTCATGTTCCCTCCAATACACGTAGACCCAGACATTGATTAATGCCTTTTCTTTCTCACAAACAATAGAAGCTCACATTTTCATAGTTTCACTTTCCTCACAATGTCTCTATGAGTCATGTAGTGCAAATATTGTTAAACCTACTTTAATGATGAGGAAAAGGATGATCAGAGATTTTACTGATTTATGTATGGTCACATAACTACTAAAAGCCAGAACTAGGACTGGAACTGTGCTCTTCTGAGTGGCTGCCTAACGGAGTGGAAAGAGCACTGTATTTGGAGGATTTGAGTTCAAATCCTGGCTCTGCCACTTACTAGATGTATGACCTTGGCCAAATTTTTTAACTTCTCTGGGCTTCAGCTTCGTTATCTACAAAATGAAAGGGTTAGATTAGATAATGGCCCTAGTCTCTTCCATCTCTAAATTCTATGATACCACAACTCTAAATGCAAGGGTCTAAGATTCTGGAACAACAATAAAGTTTATTTGTTTCCCTTTCCTGCAAATTTGCTAGGTCTTTTTTTTTTCAAGAATTTTGAGGTCTTGGGGCAGGGAGAGGTATTGGGTTTTTGTTTTTGTTATTTATTTTTTTAAATTTTATTCATTTATTTTGATTTATCAACAATCACTTCCATATGCTTTTGAGTTTAAAATTTTTCTCCTCCTTCTCTCCACCCTCCCCAAGACGGCACCAATCTGATATAGGCTTACATTTATATTAAACATATTTTCACATTAGTGAAGTTGTAAGTAAAAATTAAAACCAATAGGAGGAACCATCAGAAAGATGAAACAAAACTCAAAGAAGGAAAAAAATGATAGCATTCAACTTCCATAGTTCTTTCTTTGGATGTGGACAGCATTTTCCATCATGAGGACTCTGGAGATGTCTTAGATCCTTGTAATGCTGAGAAGGGTTCAGTTTATCAATATTAGACATCGTAAACTTGACTGTTATTGTGTACAAAGTCCTCTTGGTTCTGCTCACTTCACTCACTCAGCATCAGACCATATAAGTCTTTCCAGGTTTTTCTGAAGTCAGCCTGTTCATCATTTCTTATAGCACAATAGTATTCCATTACATTCATATACCACAACTTGCTCAGCCATTCCCCAATTGATGGGCATCCTCTCAATTTCCAATTCTTTGCCACCACAAAAAGAGCTGCTATGAATATTTTTGTACATGTGGGTCCTTTTCCCATTTGTTGATCTCTTTGGGATATAGCCCTAGAAGTGCTATTGCTGGATCAAAGGGTATGCACATTTTTAGCCCTTTGGGCATAGTTCCAAATTGTTCTCCAAAATGGTTGGATCATTTCACAACTCCACCAACAATGTATTAGTGTTCCAATTTTCCCACATCTTCCAACATTTATCATTTTCCTGTTTTGTCATGTTGGCCAATCTGATAGGTGTGATGTGGTACCTCAGAGTCATTTTGATTTGCATTTCTCTCATCAATAATGATTCACAGCATTTTTTCATATGACCATAGATGACTTTAATTTATTCTTCTGAGAACTGTCTGTTCATATCCTTTGACCATTTATCAACTGGGGAATGGCTTGTATTCTTTTAAATTTGTCTTAATTCTCTGTATATTTTAGAAATGAGGCCGTTGTCAGAGAGACTGGTTGTAAAAATTCTTTCCCAATTTTCTACCTTCCTTCTAATCTTAATTGCTTTGACTTTGTGCAAAAACTTTTCAATTTATTGTAATCAAAATTATCCATTTTGCTTTTTGCAATGTTCTCTATCTCCTGTTTGGTCATTAATTCTTCTGTTCTCCATAGATCTGATAGGTAAACTATTCCTTGTTCAGGGAGAGGTATTGTTGCACATTGGAAAGTACTCTTACTCTGAGGCCTGCAGTTCAAATCCAGCTTTTGGCAAGTGTTCCCTGTACAACCTTGGACAACCGAGTCATAGTTTTCTCATGTGTAAAATGGCCTATAAGGTCACTTCCAGATCTAAATTTAGGTTCTTATGAATTTCTCCCCCAGTTCTCAACTCAGGGGTTCTCTTCATTTATGTATTTATTTTCCTAGCCTGGATTCCCTTCGTTCTTCCCTCAGGGCTTCTTATTTCATATCCAAATGCAGAGAAGACTGTACTCAGTCCATGATCCTTTCCTATTATGTTAGATTAAGTTAGTCTGGCCTGAAAAAAATTACTGCCCAGACCCAGACAGAGTCTAGTGTAGACCCAACCATAGAAATAGAAGGAATAAGTGAGGGGAAGCCATATGGTCCCACTGATAGACAGCTGGTGGTACAGTGGATAGAGTGGTGGGCCTGGAGTCAAGAAGACCTGAGTTCAAATCTAGCCTTAGATACTTACTAGCTGTGTGATCCTGAGCAAATCATTTAACCTCTGTTTGTCTCAGTTTCCTCAACTGTAAAATGAAGATAATAATAGCACCTTCCTCCCAGGGTTGTTTTGAGGATCAAATGAGCTATTTGTAAAGCACTTAGCACAGTGTCTGGCACATAGTAGGTACTATATAAATGCTTATGCCTTTCCTCTTCTCTTTCAAGACTAAGAGTAAAGAGAATTCAATTCCTTTCCGACTTCCACTCCTCCCTCACTGTGTGACTTTGGGGGACATTGCTTTAGCTTCCTGGGTCTCCATTTCTCTACTTCTTTGAGGAGAAGCAGTACCTGATGGATGACTCTTGTGGACTCCCTTATCTCCTTGACTGCCTCTGGCATCTATTTTCCAACTTCAAGCTGTTCTCAGCTAGGAAACGACCTTATGGATGTCTCCATTCCCTATTGTGAAACTTATAGTAGCTCCAGGTGCCTCCTGTGACAAATTTACAGTCTTCAAGCAGGTGAAAGTTACCTCTATCTAGTGTCCCCATTTCATCTCATCTCACAAGGCATTCTTGGTCAGACTCCTTGCTGTGGTTATATCTTCAAATCCTAACCAACATCCCTCTATCTCCTTCTCTGGTTCTTTACATTGAACCCTTGGGCTCCATATTACTCTCTCTCTCTCTCTCTCTCTCTCTCTCTCTCTCTCTCTCTCTCTCTCCCTCTCTGTCTTTATCTCTCCCTTTCTCTCTCTCTCTCTCTCTCTCTCTCTCTCTCTCTCTCTCTCTCCCCCTCTGTCCTTATCTCTCCCTTTCTCTCTCTGTCTCTCTGTCTCTCTCTCTCCCCCTTCTGTCTTTATCTCTCCCTTTCTCTGTCTCTGTCTGTCTGTCTGTCTGTCTGTCTCTCTCTCTCTCTCTCTCTCTCTCTCCCCTCTTTGTCTTTATCTCTCCCTTTCTCTCTCTCTCCCCTCTCTGTCTTTATCTCTCCCTTTCTCTGTCTCTGTCTCTCTGTCTCTGTCTCTGTCTCTGTCTCTCTGTCTCTCTCTCTCCCCCTCTGTCTTTATTTCTCCCTTCTCTCTCTCTCTCTCTTCTCTCTTCTCTCTCTCTCTCTCTCTCTCTCTCCTCTCTCTCTCTCTCTCCCCTCTCTGTCTTTATCTCTCCCTTTCTCTCTCCTCTCTCCTCTCTCTTGCTCTTTTCTCTCTGTCTCTCCTCTTTCCCTGTCTTTCCTGTCTCTCCCTCCTCTCTCTTCTTTCTCCTCCCTTCCCCACCCCTCAAAATCTCAACTACTTGTTGAGTTGTATTCTTTCCTTGTAGCATAGAAAAACAACAAAACTAACCAATGAAACAACCACATCTGACAGCGTATGCAACATTCTTCACTGGTAGTCTTCTGCCTTTATGTTTCATCTCGTTCTCTAGGACCAAGATTAGTCATTGAAATTAATTTGAGTTCAATTGCCTTTTTGTTTGCATTATTATAGTCACTGTGAGTATTGTTATTTTGGTTTTGCATAATTTCATAAACACCTTCTAATTGTAACTTATAAATAGAATACCTCAAGATGCTAGGCTCACACAAACTTGAGTTAAATCCTGGAGGCTGACCCAGTGAAGGTCATCCCCTTTCTTTGGCTCACTGCCCCAACCTGGAGATGTTCCAGGAAAGACTCCCAGTATATTCAGGGTAGAACTCATGTCTAGACTCTTCAAATGTGGCCATCAGGGTACCCAGCTCCAAAACAAGCTCTCAAAGCAAAAAATGCACATTGGATAAAAGACAATCCTCACTTTACCCCAGAGAAAATGGGGAAGATACAAAGAACTCCCTGGAGCACACAGATACAGAAAATACATATAGCACATTAGTTCTCCTCAGGGGTATGTTGGTAAATATCTAACAATCAAGTCTCCTAAAAGGTACAACATACCTTTAGTTTTAATCTGCATTATTAATATTTTATTAATCACTTTCTTATGTCTAAGTAATTAACAAAATAATGAGTCGAGTCTCGATTTGTAGTGTTTGCTGATATCTAAAGTGTAAATGCTCACACTGAAAATTTAACAATTAGCTCACATTAGTCAGTTAAGAATAGGCTCCAGCACACCCCTCCTTGAAAGACAGAACTTAGAGTTACCACCAGGGCAACTCTTTGACATTTTAGTGATACTCTTTTTCTCAAAGTTCCAAACATTCTCCCTAAGACTCATAGTACCACCTTGTGGTTTAGATTCCCTGTAGAAGGTGGATGTACTTTGGGGGCTGTGTAAAAGTAATCCCTTTTCCTTTCTTTTTTTTTTTCTGGGATAGGCAATGGGGTTAAGTGACTTGCCCAGGGTCACACAACTAGTAAGTGTTATGTGTTTGAGGTGGGATTTGAACTCAGATCCTCCTGACTCCAGGGCCAGTGCTCTATCCACTGTACCATCTAGCTGCCCCAAAAGTAATCCCCTTTTCAACAGACCTTCACTGTCCTAGTAACTCACTGTCTTTGCTCTCCCAATAAACAGGAACTATGCATACTATCTTTTTTTTCCTTTTTCTTCAAGGAGCATCAAGAAATTCTCTTCTCTCTCTAGAATGGCTAATCTATAGCATGGGTTGAACTTTTGAACTTGGGAACTCTTGAATTTGGGATTACTTGCAAAATGTTACCAAGGAACTCTCCCTCTTCTGGGTAGAGGACTGGATTCTGCGACTCTGATGCCGAGAGAATCCTTCTCCAAAGAGGTGGGAGTTCATGAACATTAGACACGACCTACCCCTCTTGCACCAAGCTGGCATACTGAATATTGCCATGTACTTCTGCTAGAAATCTTATCAGTGACCCAGCTGCTACTGTTTCTTGAACTGGGAGTGTTGACTCTCTGGATCTCTCCTTTTAGGCCAATGACAAGCTCATGACAGCCTCTGCCATGTGTTATTACCATAAATTGACACCAACTGTTTCTGTGGGGGAGGAAATTGTAGTGAGGCACAGGTTCTCTTAAATGGAGTCCCAAGACT